CCCTTTAAATATCTCAAATGCTGCAATAGATTTTTTCGCAACCCAGCTACAGTGTACTGAAATGTTGACACTACTTTACCTCAGTTATCAATACACATTTAAATGAAATGTGATGTAACCTTGACAAAAAATGAGCAACTTGATGTTTACAACATGAATGGAAACCTATGGCTGCATGAATTTCTGAGAGGCAACAACATAGTTTACACTGTGGTTCTCTCTCATGTGAAGTGTGTGTGATTTCTAATAAAAAATTGGCTAAAATATGCAAAATCACTGACTGTGTAAACTTTTCTGGAACAAATGCAACAAATCTGACTTGTTTCTTTAGGAACTTTAGAAATAAGTTTATAGAGAAAGTAGATCCCTCATATGTTTCAAGTGCAGTGACAGTGTCATCTGTGTGGTTTCCTCTGATTGGCAGACAAATGTCGTGGCCGGACAGAAAGTTATAGATTTCTGTTGCTGATACACTGCTACACTGTGTAGGAATGGGAAGTTCAGATAGGCAGTGAGGCGGCTAATGGAAGGAGTGTGGATTATTCATGTTGGACTCGGTGTCTTATTACAGTGTCCTGTTGCAGCTTAGCACACATACACACTCTCAGACACACACACACACACAACCACACACACACACAACACACACACACACACACACTCGTCCTACTGTATTTGATCATTGCAAATTATACTGTAAATGTGTGTACACACAAACAGACGCTTCAAATTCACAATTTAAAAGTAAAAGACTGACCCTTCCTCATGTGATAAGTGAACTTGTTTAGATGATTGTCCCTCAGTGTGTCTCCTCGTGAATCAGTGTGTGTCTGTGCGTTTGTGATGGGTGTGTATTTGTGAATGTGCTCTTCTAGTACAGGAGGAGGAAGGCAACAAATGAAGGCTATGAAACAGACTATATCGTGTTTTTTGGTCATCTCTACACTCACCTCTGAAGCAGTGTGAGTGTCTCACCGGTTTTTGTGTTGTGTGTGTGTGTGTGTGTGTGTGTGTGTGTGTGTGTGTGTGTGTGTGTGTGTGTGTGTGTGTGTGTGTGTGTGGTGTTTACAGGCTGGGAGTGACGGGGAGAGCATTGGAAACTGTCCATTCTCTCAGCGCCTCTTCATGATCCTCTGGCTGAAAAGGAGTAGTCTTTAATGTCACCACTGTTTGACCTCAAGAGGTAATAATAATGGTCACAGCATAACACTATAATATTATAAGTAAAATAGAGAATAAATATCAGTTCTAGCCCTGGTTTGATCATTGTTATAACCAAATCCCATGAATTTCCTATTTATACTAATAGGTTCTCATGATATTTTACTAAATTATTTTATTTTTGAGTTAGTTTAAAAATTAGCTGGACCTAAATCATTAAAGAAATGTTTTATTAAAGCTGCTATAATCAGTTTTTTATATTATGTTTGTCAAATGGACTTTGAACAAAAGTCCAAATTCCCATGTAAATATTAAATGTTACATGCTAATAGAAAACAGTTGTTTCTATTGTTTGTGTTCACATTTGTTGAAAGAATTTACACATCATAATGTAACTTACCCTTTGATTTGATTGAAGATTTGTATTTAAATTGTGTGCAGGCCCATGGTATTTAGCGTTAGCAGCAATAGCCATCATTGCAGAATAGACAGGAATAATGTGTTTCCTGACAGCTCTAATATTAACACTCAGACTAAAAATAGTAAGTCATCACACTATAAATGGATGAAGTTGTAAACTGATTCCCCTCTGATTAGGAAACCGGCTGACCTCCACAACCCTGGCCCCAGGGACACACCCACCCTTCCTCACCTTTCAGGGGGAGGTACTCACCGATGTCAACAAAATAGAGGAGTACCTGGAGGCGATGCTGGCTCCACCAAAGTAGGTCTCACACACAAACACACACAAAACAGAATAGGAAGGAGAGTAACCAACATGCACAACTAACACCGTGTTCTGTTTCTTAGGTATCCCAAACTTGCAGCAAAGAACCGTGAATCCAACACAGCAGGAAATGACATATTTGCCAAGTTCTCAGCTTATGTCAAAAACACAAGGCCAGATAAAAATCGAGGTAAGCACGCTCATCCAAAATTAATTAATATATGCAGTTGAGTATATCCAGTAGGCATAAAACCCCCACTGGTTATTTGACTTGTAATGACCTTTGACCCTGGAAATGTGTTTGTGTCTGTTTGCAGACTTTAGAGAAAGGTCTAAACAAGGCCTTGGCTAAGCTGGATGAGTATCTGATGGGTCTGCTACCTGATGAGGTTGAGACGGGACGCACAGCGGCTAAGGGAGAGTTACTCGCAAATATCTGGACGAGATGAACTTGACGTGGCTGATTGCAACCTTCTGCCCAAACTTCACGTCGTCAAGGTAACCTGCTTTGGATTAGTCTGGTTTGGTTAATTTGATCTCATCAATTTGTTTTTGACAGTATTACCTGTTTTTGTCAGTGGTTGCAAAGAAATACCGAAACTATGACATCCCGTCTGAATTCAAAGGGGTGTGGCGTTACCTTGGCAACGCCTACAGCCGAGACGAGTTCACAACACGTGCGCAGCTGACTGTGGAAATCGAAATAGCCTACAAGGATGTAGCCAAGAGGCTGGGAAAATGAATGCATCACAACCACAGTACTATTGTACCTTTCTGTCTTCATGGGTAAATTACTAAATAATACCTCTGATACCATGACAATCCACTCTGTACACAGGATGTTTCGTTTTTTAATGCTCATGTGCTGAAAATGTGCTTAAATGCTGCAAAGTGGTAATAGTGTCTCAAAGAAAAAGGAGCATGTGGTAAAATGACTCATCAATGTCTAAAACTTTTGCGCAGCATCTGGAGTCTGATGTCCTTGTAATAGTGCTTACCACAAACAAATGGAAGATTATGGTGATTATACTGCTGATTGTTCTCAAAAATGTATTTTATTTATTGAGGAAAAATATCTAAAGTACAAATGACAGTTAGCAAGCCCATAAATCATAGCTTAGCAAAATTAGCTAGGTCTGTCAAACTTGAGAACAAGATCAAATGTGTAATGAATAGATTGAAAAGTGTCTTTTGTCTGTCCTAATGAAAGCTGCAAATGTTAGCATGCTAAACTAACTAGTTTACTAACCACATTAGTATTGCTAATACACTTTCTTGATCATATTCAGACTTACTAGCTCTACACTGCAACACAACACAATGTTGTTTCTTTGACAAAGAAGCCTGTAACTATGCTAGCTAACAGAGTTAACATTAGAAAATTAAAAATTGAGTGGTAAAATCAATTATTAATCATTGTAAACTGTTGTGTGAGAAATTAAGTTGACAGGCTATAGCAACAGTAGCTGGTGGGGCTAAACGAACGATCATTTTTGAGATATTATATTTCATAAATTTTACTAAAGATTTGCCTATTTCCCATCACAGTTAATCTACTGATTTTACTCTGATAGTTTGATATCATGAATTCTTTTAGTAGAGTATGTAATGGAATAATGGAATGCATAAATCAGCATTTATTAATTTGTTTTTTTCTTGTAGTGTTAAAACCAATAGACCAGAACGTTGTTGTTGAACATACTGTTAAGAATGTGTTTCAAGCCAAGTAATTTGTCTTTTACTGGGGGGGGGTAGCTTTGTGGACTTTGTGGAGATGTGATGTTGCCTTCCTTTTCTTAAGGAGGAAATGAAATGACAGGTTAAATTGTACATTTTTTATTGTGTAATTTTCTTTACTTTTCTCACACCCACAGTAAACAGTCATTCTTACACACAGATTTAATACTTCTCATTCCAAACTGATAAATAAGGCTATAACGAAAAGAAAACAAACAGTTTAACCCAAGTTTACCCCAGCTATTGTGTTGACAGCTTATTTAGTTGCAAACTGATAGTAAGTGAATGTAATTATTTAATCATGAGTGCCTTAGTAGGAATCAAGCTCTCTCTGCCTTCAGCTCTTTATGTCTGTACAGTAAATTATATATATTTGAATATAATATGAATGTATTATTGATGTAATCAAAGGACTTCTAGTGCCCATGGAGCCTGTAAGGTGATAATGTAAACTTAATATGTCTGTAAATGATTATAGCTCAACTATATTCACATTCTTTCTTGATGATTAGAACCATAAACCCACTGTGTATATGTCACTTATTTTGAATAATAAATCTATTTTCTCAGAGACTGAGCTTGAAACTGTCTTGTAGTGTATGCCCAAACAGGGGAATGGATACTGACTGTGACTCTCTGAGCAAGATCAAGTTGCTATTGTCTACACAAAAATAGCAAAAGTTCCTAGGAAAAACAGCAAGTAGGTTTAGCTGATGTTTGTGGAAATACGTGCACATCATCCTACGGTATCATAGATCTCTCTCTTTTGTATGCTAAATATTAAGATACAGTCAGAGGCCCGTCCAAACATAAAAACTCTGCCCTGCGGTACTGCTCTTTATGCTAAGCTAAGCTAACTGGCTACTTCTCATCAAACTCAGTGAGTAGTTCCCAACTTGTCGAACTGCACCCTTTAAATATCTCAAATGCTGCAATAGATTTTTTCGCAACCCAGCTACAGTGTACTGAAATGTTGACACTACTTTACCTCAGTTATCAATACACATTTAAATGAAATGTGATGTAACCTTGACAAAATGAAGGCAGACTTGATGTTTACAACATGAATGGAAACCTATGGCTGCATGAATTTCTGAGAGGCAACAACATAGTTTACACTGTGGTTCTCTCTCATGTGAAGTGTGTGTGATTTCTAATAAAAATTGGCTAAAATATGCAAAATCACTGACTGTGTAAACTTTTCTGGAACAAATGCAACAAATCTGACTTGTTTCTTTAGGAACTTTAGAAAATAAGTTTATAGAGAAAAATAGATCCCTCATATGTTTCAAGTGCAGTGACAGTGTCATGTGTGAGTTTCCTCTGATTGGCAGACAAATGTCGTGGCCGGACAGAAAGTTATATGATTTCTGTAGCTGATACACTGCTACACTGTGTAGGAATGGGAAGTTCAGATAGGCAGTGAGGCGGCTAATGGAAGGAGTGTGGATTATTCATGTTGGACTCGGTGTCTTATTACAGTGTCCTGTTGCAGCTTAGCACACATACACACTCTCAGACACACACACACACACACACACACACACACTCGTCCTACTGTATTTGATCATTTGCAAATTATACTGTAAATGTGTGTACACACAAACAGACGCTTCAAATTCACAATTTAAAAGTAAAAGACTGACCCTTCCTCATGTGATAAGTGAACTTGTTTAGATGATTGTCCTCAGTGTGTCTCCTCGTGAATCAGTGTGTGTCTGTGCGTTTGTATGGGTGTGTATTTGTGAATTGAAATGCTCTTCTAGTACAGGAGGAGGAAGGCAACAAATGAAGGCTATGGAAACAGACTATATCTGTTTTTGGTCATCTCTACACTCCACCTCTGAAGCAGTGTGAGTGTCTCACCGTGTTTTGTGTGTGTGTGTGTGCGTGTGTTTACAGGCTGGGAGTGACGGGGAGAGCATTGGAAACTGTCCATTCTCTCAGCGCCTCTTCATGATCCTCTGGCTGAAAGGAGTAGTCTTTAATGTCACCACTGTTGACCTCAAGAGGTAATAATAATGTCACAGCATAACACTATAATATTATAGTAAAATAGAGAATAAATATCAGTTCTAGCCCTGGTTGATCATTGTTATAACCCAAATCCCATGAATTTCCTATTTATACTAATAGGTCTCATGATATTTTACTAAATTATTTTATTTTGAGTTAGTTTAAAAATAGCTGGACCTAAATCATTAAAGAAATGTTTATTAAAGCTGCTATAATCAGTTTTTTATATTCATGTTGTCAAATGGACTTTGAACAAAAGTCCAAATTCCCATGTAAATATTAAATGTTACATGCTAATAGAAACAGTTGTTTCTATTGTTTGTGTTCACATTTGTTGAAAGAATTTACACATCATAATGTAACTTACCCTTTGATTTGATTGAAGATTTGTATTTAATTGTGTGCAGGCCCATGGTATTTAGCGTTAGCAGCAATAGCCATCATTGCAGAATAGACAGGAATAATGTGTTTCCTGACAGCTCTAATATTAACACTCAGACTAAAAATAGTAAGTCATCACACTATAAATGGATGAAGTTGTAAACTGATTCCCCTCTGATTAGGAAACCGGCTGACCTCCACAACCTGGCCCCAGGGACACACCCACCCTTCCTCACCTTTCAGGGGGAGGTACTCACCGATGTCAACAAAATAGAGGAGTACCTGGAGGCGATGCTGGCTCCACCAAAGTAGGTCTCACACACAAACACACACAAAACAGGAATAGGAAGGAGAGTAACCAACATGCCAACTAACACCGTGTTCTTGTTTCTTAGGTATCCCAAACTTGCAGCAAAGAACCGTGAATCCAACACAGCAGGAAATGACATATTTGCCAAGTTCTCAGCTTATGTCAAAAACACAAGGCCAGATAAAAATCGAGGTAAGCACGCTGCATCCAAAATTAATTAATATATGCAGTTGAGTATATCCAGTAGGCATAAAACCCCCACTGGTTTATTGACTTGTATGACCTTTGACCCTGGAAATGTGTTCTGTCTGTTGCAGATTTAGAGAAGGGTCTAAACAAGGCCTTGGCTAAGCTGGATGAGTATCTGATGGGTCTGCTACCTGATGAGGTTGAGACGGGACGCCACAGCGGCAAGGGAGAGTCTACTCGCAAATATCTGGACGGAGATGAACTGACGTTGGCTGATTGCAACCTTCTGCCCAAACTTCACGTCGTCAAGGTAACCTGCTTTGGATTAGTCTGGTTTGGTTAATTTGATCTCATCAATTTGTTTTTGACAGTATTACCTGTTTTTGTCAGGTGGTTGCAAAGAAATACCGAAACTATGACATCCCGTCTGAATTCAAAGGGGTGTGGCGTTACCTTGGCAACGCCTACAGCCGAGACGAGTTCACCAACACGTGCGCAGCTGATGTGGAAATTGAAATAGCCTACAAGGATGTAGCCAAGAGACTGGGAAAATGAATGCATCACAACCACAGTCACTATTGTACCTTTCTGTCTTCATGGTAAATCTACTAAATAATACCTCTGATACACATGACATCCACTCTGTACACAGGATGTTTCGTTTTTAATGCTCATGTGCTGAAATGTGCTTAAATGCTGCAAAGTGGTATAGTGTCTCAAAGAAAAGGAGCATGTGGTAAAAATGACTCATCAATGTCTAAAACTTTTGCGCAGCATCTGGAGTCTGATGTCCTTGTAATAGTGCTTACCACAAACAAATGGAAGATTATGGTGATTATACTGCTGATTGTTCTCAAAAATGTATTTTATTTATTGAGGAAAAATATCTAAAGTAACAAATGACAGTTAGCTAAGCCCATAAATCATAGCTTAGCAAAATTAGCTAGGTCTGTCAAACTTGAGAACAAGATCAAATGTGTAATGAATAGATTGAAAAGTGTGTTTGTCTGTCCTAATGAAAGCTGCAAATGTTAGCATGCTAACTAACTAGTTTACTAACCACATTAGTATTGCTAATACATTTTCTTGATCATATTCAGACTTACTAGCTCTACACTGCAACACAACAACAATGTTGTTTCTTTGACAAAGAAGCTGTAACTATGCTAGCTAACAGAGTTAACATTAGAAAATTAAAAATTGAGTGGTAAAATCAATTATTAATCATTGTAAACTGTTGTGTGAGAATATAAAGCTTGACAGGCTTAGCAACAGTAGCTGGTGGGGCTAAACGAACGATCATTTTGAGATATTATATTTCATAAATATTTACTAAAGATTTGCCTATTTCCCGTCACAGTTAATCTACTGATTTTACTCTGATAGTTTGATATCATGAATTTCTTTTACGTAGAGTATGTAATGGGAATAATGGAATGCATAAATCAGCATTTGATTATTTGTTTTTTTCTTGTAGTGTTAAAACCAATAGACCAGACGTTGTTGTTGGAAAAATACTGTTAAGAATGTGTTTCAGCCAAAGTAATTTGTCTTTTACTGGGGGGGGGGGGTTAGCTTTGTGGACTTTGTGGAGATGTGACGTTGCCTTCCTTTTCTTAAGGAGGAAATGAATGACAGGTTAAATTGTACATTTTTTATTGTGTAATTTTCTTTACTTTTCTCACACCACAGTAAACAGCTCATTCTTGCAACACAGATTAATACTTCTCATTCAAACTGATAAATAAGGCTATAACGAAAAGAAACAAACAGTTTACCCAAGTTTACCCCAGCTATTGTGTTGACAGCTTATTTAGTGCAAACTGATAGTAGTGAATGTAATTTTAATCATGAGTGCCTTAGTAGGAATCAAGCTCTCCTCTGCCTTCAGCTCTTTATGTCTGTACAGTAAATTATATATATTTGAATATAATATGAATGTGAATTATTGATGTAATCAAAGGACTTCTAGTGCCCCATGGAGCTGTAAGGTGATAATGTAAACTTAATATGTCTGTAAATGATTATAGCTCAACTATATTCACATTCTTTCTGATGATTAGAACCATAAACCCACTGTGTATATGTCACTTATTTGAATAATAAATCTATTTTCTCAGAGACTGAGCTTGAAACTGTCTTGTAGTGTATGCCCATACAGGGGAATGGATACTGACTGTGACTCTCTGAGCAAATCAAGTTGCTATTGTCTTACACAAAAATGCAAAAGTTCCTAGGAAAAACAGCAAGTAGGTTTTCTAGCTGATTTGTTTGTGGAAATACGTGCACAGTCATCCTAGGTGACATAGCTGCATTTCCCCAAAGGTGCTGCTGTGTACACAGCTCCTCCTCCACCTTTTGCTTTCCATTCTTGTTTTCTCCACACAGCAGGTCGCCTCTCTCCTCCTCTGCCTCTTTTTCCCGCTCACCTCTCTTTGCTGTTGGGAATGAGTAGAACGTTTAGATTATTTCTTCACCTCACTCTTGTCTATTTTTATTGACTGAATACTGGTATAAATACTTCAACTTTAGATCTTGTTTCTAGGTTAGTAGCTGAGTCAGAAGATGCACAGCATGCACACCTACAGGATAGATGCAGAACATACAGTAGACCATAGGAGAAAAATAAGCATGTCACAAAATAACTGAGCAATACTTTACTTCCTGCACTTTTGACAAATGCAAAAGCTAATTTGTCTTCTCACAATTCAGTAATTTATCTGGATTTCAGTGGCTCTACATTAGGATACAGGGGACCATTACTATTTGTATCCTGGAGCATCTGACAGCCAGCAGATGGCAGTAAACACAAAGCTTTTATTGGTCTGTTATGACAGTAACGTGTAGTTAGGGATCATCCTGTTTTATGTCTCTTCTGTTTAACTACCCTTATCTGGCAAATGGTATCTAACACTTGCCACATTTATATTCACCATACAAGCTTTGCAGTAATCAAGATTGAGATCTCTTGCTGATAATAAGTGACTGATTTTAAAAAGTGTTTTTTCTGGAATTATCTTATTTTGACAATACATAATTTATTTTCATCCTTCATTGATTTTTTCTAGGCTATAGATGGGTCTTTAACTTTATTTCGCATATGTCCCATATGCTTTACTTTATTAAAAAGTGTAAATACCACATCCATTACAAGTAAAAGCCCTGCATTGAAAATATTTACTTAAAGTAAATTATCAGTCATTTTTTATTCATTTTGTATATCAAATTATGTTGTTTAATCTGTGACCGCTCATTATACTTTACCTTAATTTGTAGTAAATAAATGTAGTGGAGTAAATAGTAAAATTTGTTTCTCTACAATGTAGTTGAGTTGAAGTTTAAATACTAAAATAATGCACTTGTACCTCAAATTTCCAATGTTTTTGTCCTGTCCAGTATTGAGTAAATGTATCAGTCGCCTCAGCGTTAGGGATCGGATTCTTCGTTTTTAGCGGGCTGTGAACACGCAGACGGTCCCTAACCGTTCATCTCGCTCTGCTAGTGGGCAGAGCAAACACAGAGGCTCGTGCGCTGTGGCTGGAATCTCATCTCACCAGTCTACCCCTCACAACGACGTCTCCGCTCGCCCCCTTCCCTGGATTCTTTTAAGTCCTATTACCACCTTATAATATCACCGAGAGCCACCGACACAAACCGTCAAAAAGGTAAGCGTCTTTCTGTCACCTTAACCGCGCCGGAGCTTGTTTTCTGCTCCAGTGTTGAGGAAATAACGCTGGTGGAAGAGGCGCAGTGTTTTAGCCGTGTGTTCTCGGGAGTGGGCGACTTGTCATTGCGGCGGTGCGTGTGTTGTTGTGAAATGAGTGGTGGTCGAGCGAGGCAGCTAGCCGTCCCAAGCCCCGAAAACAAAGCTAATGTAGCCGGAAACGTTGATAGTCGGCGTTTAAGTCGGCTGGTCGTATTAAAAACGGTCAAACGGCGGGTAATAGAGCTGAATAGCTAACGACGCTAGCTGGCTTTTTGCAGCCAGTTAAGGGAATCGGGACGTTAATCGCCGCAGCGAGCAGGGGGTCCCATTGTTTTTACGCGGCAGGTTTAGCTAGCTTATAAGAGAAAGTGATATTAACACGGTGTCATAATGAAGACATTGCGGCGTATCCGCCTTATAGCATCCTTGCATCTTGAATATGTCTCGAACAGGTTGTTTAAGAATACGGTTCATTTCCAAGTCTTCTGAATGGCGGTTAATGATTTACCTCATAGCCACTGTCAGTAATTGACCAGCTGTGCTCTTAATTTATTTCACCTGCTGGTGTACGTCTTTTCTTGATTATGCTCACCACAGAAGAAGAAGAAGGTGGTTGGCAGTTACAGCTGTATTCATCACTGTGTCACTGATACACGACCTTCTCCTTTACCTGACAGTGTTTCTCTCACCTGTGTTTTTGGAGCAGTTTGAACAGACACGGCGTCATAAAACAATAACCAGGCCGTTGCACCTTGTTACACAAACTAGGGAGACATATTGTTTTTTTTTTTGTTTTTTGCCTTCAGAGATGATGTTGCGTTTTGGTGACACAGACTCAGATAAAAGGTTGTGCTAAGTTAGTTTATCATGTTAATAAACGCCCTGTCTTCTTCTGGAAATACTGGAGATCAGGTAATACCTGTATTTCTGGTCAGCACTACACGAAATGACACCTGTTATAATTTCCGCCAAGGTAGGAATTGAAAATAAATGACTGAGGAACAATGTTTGCTATAACAATTAAACTAGAACCTTAATTTATTAATTTAATTATTTACTCAATTATGCCTGATTTAAAAGCCAAGATTATTATAAGGTTCTTTTTAGTTTACAACTGTTTGTACAAGACTAGTCAGACCTAAAAAAAGTGAAATCAGTCAGTAACAGGAATATAGAGAGAATGAGAGGAAAAACACTTAGCTCACCAGTCCAGTAATTTTTCAGCCTGCAACATGAGTAGTCTCATATAATGAGGTTATGACATGCTGATTTGATTATATGAGATGTAGCTTGTGTTATTATCAAGCATGCTGCAAATGTGATTGTGTTGTGTGCTATCTACAGCCTGCAAGAAAAAACATCTTTGTCTTTAAAAATGGTTGTGATGTGGTTTTGGAGAAATGTGTCTGCTGAGAGATTATAAAGTATATCTCATCTTATTCAATGTGACCCAGCAAAAAAACGCCCCCCCCCTGTCTGGTTATAATCCTCGACTGTAGGCTGTGAGCTAATGCTGAGTGTAGTGACCATCTAGAGGTGAGCCACCGACTGCCCCTGGCTTTATAAAGAGCTCTTTCAGTCGCCTTTTTGCCGGAGCCTTTGGGATTATAAATCCTGAGGAAAAGGAGCTTTGCTTCGGTGGCATGCTTCACTGGCAAGAAATCGTTGGAGGGTGTGTGTGTGTGTGTGTAAGAGAGAGAGAGAGAGAGAGGGAGAGGGCACGGTGGTTGTGCTGGTGGGCTCGGGTGGAGAGCCAGCAGAGGCAGTGGAGGGATTGAAGACGGAGGGATGGAGGAGAAGTGGGCTGTGGTGATGGATGCCATGCAGGGAAGTGGAACACTTGGCCTCTCTGTGATTAAAGGGCTCCTGTTCTCTTGGCACAAACACACACACAAACACACACACACTCGCGCACACACACCTGTCTTTTCTTATTTCTGTGGTCAATCTAGTTACTGATCACTAAGCCAAAAAATTTCTGTATCTCCAATGTCAGCGATCCTTAAAGGTGATTTGATTTCCAGTGTTATTTAACGTCAGGGTCAGTAAGGAGTATCCTTAAGGTCAGGCTGATGTATGAATCAGCTTTCTGGAACAAGACCGTGCACTTTAGCCAGAAGCCCCACTCCACAACCTCTCCTCCCAATCGTGCACCACACATTCGCTTCCTTACAGTCAGTCCACTGTTTGGAGCTCTGTAGCTACAAAGCACTCATATATTCCTGCTGCACATTTGAGCTGTTCATGGATAGGGCAGGTCACAAAAAGTGCAGTAAACCCTCTTGAAAAGCTGTTTTCACATCCAGGGCTATGACTAAGAAACTTAAAATGTAATAAAAGGAAGATTAGGGATTTTCAGAATCCTCGCCTCAGATTTCACAAAACAATTTCATGCCTGTTTTTGTCTCACTTTGCAGGTTGAATATTGAACTTTAGGTTGTTGTGGATACACATATATGTATGAAAATGTCCATGGCATGTGAGGCATTTAAATTTGTCATGTAGTGTTGTGATTACTGAAACCACCGCATCTTCAATCAGCCAGTAAAAACCAGCAAAACCAAGATAAACCATCGTCAATGTCAGTGTCAAGGCATAGTCATAGTTGGTTTGATTAAGCACATTCTTAGCCTGTAATGTGATCTGAATGAACAAATGCCTCTGGCTGCAGTTTGTGTTGTTATATTTTACGTCACAGAGATAGGAAGTGAGCACACTTTGACTTTCCTGACATCTTCGAAGGCTTTTAGAGGATTTGGACTTGCATTAAGAGTGAAGACCAGAATTAGGATTAGTTTTATATTAGGGAGAGTGTTATGAGTTAGATGAGCAGTGCAGAGGGCTGAGGGTTTAATGCAGTCGGTGAAGGCCCTCACAGACATGGTGATATCAGTGTGTGCATGTTTGCATACATCTGATTGCATAACGGTTCATTGCCCCTGCACTTATAGCCATAGAATAACCTTGTTAATTTTGCACCAAGAGCATTTTAATGTGATGCTTTTGTGTGTGTTTGTGTGTGTGTGTGTGTGTCTTCTTTTTACTACTTTAGTGTTCTTCTACATATTGTGATGAGGTCAACTTGTGTTGTCATAACAACAAGACTTGTATGTGGTCACTACAGGAAGAAACAAAGTGCCGACCCTCAGCACCTTGTTTGCGGTTCTCACCCACATTGTCACTTGGCTCGTTTCCGACATGCAGGTCATGTTCGGGGTGGTCTTGTCCTCTCCGCCTGCTCTCGTGGCGTGTTGTGGCAGGTTAAACCTGTCAGTGCAAGTGCGAGGAGAGGGATGCCTCTTCTGTGTGTTTTTGGCCAGGTGGATGACTTTATAAGGTGTTTGCACGCAAGTATGTCTGTTCCAACTTCCTTAATGGCAACAAAGGACAGAAGAAACCAATGTACCGCTAGTTCTGTGGAATGAAAAGAGCTTGAGTTTTATTGTGCTGCAGAGGAAGCGTTATTTAAAGAACAAAGAGAGAATCAGACTTGTGAATCACAAGTTCCTGTGAAGTCAGGGTTGCAGTTCGTAGGTGTTTACTGTGCTGCGTTGGTCATGGGGATTCACCAGAAATGCTAACATCCCCATTTTGTACAGTGTTGACACACATCTTTTGTAAGACCTTCAATAAACTGTCCTGTCTGTTGTCTAGCGAAAAAGGGGGCTGTCACTTTTCCCAAAAAAAGTTCAGACGAATTTGGAATGACATGCAAACCATTCGAATTAAAAAAAAGAAGTTTAGTCTATATTGTGTCTCCTATGAAATAAAACAAAATACAGTAATGAAGGCACACGTTTGGGTCACCTTCCTAATGGTGGTGGTGTGAAATCCAGCATGTTTTTTTTCCCCCCCCGGCTCCAAAAGTGCTGAGGCGATTCCTTTTTGTGAAGACATTGTCACTAGTGCGGGAGAAACAACAGTTCTCGCAGGCACTCTGGGTGTGTAAGCTGTCCAGGGACTCTGCTCTATCAGAGCGACCTGTTCCTGAATGGTCCGCTGCGGATGCAGTTGATTGGATTTAGGTTTCCAGAGCGGAGCTGGACTTCGAGGTCAAGGTTTAAGCTATGTGGTTTTACACCGTGTTACTCCAGAGGTGGAGGAAGGAAGTGTCATCGAGCTCGATCCTTCCTTTTTAAAAGAACAGTTACATAACATAATTCTGATGTAGGGTGAATATCGTTTTCTTTTTATCGGATCATACTTAATTTCATTAACTATCACAGAGATTTATATGATCTGATCTCAGATTTCTCCTGATGAAATGAGGCTGTAGCACAGAACTAATTAATGCAACTTTTCTCTGAGTCATTATGAGATTAAAATCCTTCATGAAAGCCAGATAAATTCATGTGTGCGGTCTCGCATGCATTAGATTATATAAGAAGATATACAGCACCAAAGAGGGTGCAAGATTTGTTTACCTTTTTTCCCCCTGTACGTAATATTTCACTACAGTGAAACCAGGCTGCTTTTTGTTAACTATAATTCTTTTCCAAAGCATCAAAATTAGAAAGAAGAAATAAGAAATAAACATTAAAGTCACTGTATTAAATAACTGTTAAGTATGTACTTGTAGCTTAGACTGCTGCCACAATTGTCACAGTAATGCACTGCGTGTTTGGCAGCTTCAGGTGCACAGCAATCAGCAGTGGAGACTGTCAGAGCAAACAGCACTGTAAACAGAGCTCAAAGAAATGTGGATACGTCTCAGCACTCTGCACTCAGCTCAGTCTGAGACAACTAAAATAAGTAAAATTAGACTGTGTGGTGAAAGGTACACGGCTTTCAGCTTTTCACGGAGAGGGGAAGCTAGCTGTCACACACCCGAATACCTCATCTACAGGGAAAACAGTGTCAAATTTTAGAAAAGTAAGCTCAGACACCAAAGATATTCAATACTTCAAATGACTAAGAGGTAACTTTAATACAGAATCAAAGGCCGGTGTCGCGTGTGAG